TCCAGTGTGCATGTCCCCCCATCCACCACTCCCCGTCCAGTGTGTGCCCCCTCTTCCACTCCTCTTGTCCAGTGGTGCCACCTTCCTGTACCTTCCATAGATGCCAGCATCCCTGTCCCTGGGTGGTCTCCGATCCTGGCTGCTCCATCTGTAGAGTGAATAAATGTCAAGTTTCTAACCCTAGACTTACCTTCCCTTGAACCTGCCTGCCCCCCGCCCCAGGTATTGCTCTGTATCTCTCTTCTCCTTCACAGCCAGTTTTCTCCAGAAGCCACATATACTTGTTGTCTCCTGTCCCCAACCTGCTCCTCAGCCTGGGGCAGGCTAGCTCCATCCATATCTAAAACAAATTGCTCCCACCAGGGTCACCAGTGGTTTCCAGGGTATTCCTTCCAGTGAACACATGACCAGTCCCTCTCTAACCGCAACTGGCATTTGATTTTTCTGTTCCCTCCTCCATGACACTCAACTCCCCAGGGCTTTAGGACAACATTTCTTGGTTCTTCCCTCAGTTCTCAGGCTGTACCTTGTTCTATCTTTAATGCCCCCCCTCCCAAAACACACGTACCACCCCAAATGTGGGTACTTCTAAAGGCTGTGTCCTTAGTCTCTTTGCCTTCTGCACCTATCTCCTTGGGACATCATCATGCCCCACCGTTGCTGTCATACCCCACACTTAGCCATCTCTCTGGACTGGGTCATCTCACAAGCCCCACCCACTGCTCATCGCTCTAGGCATCTAGTCCCTCCTCACCTGCCCACCTATCCATCCATTCACCTACAGACCTTTCCACTTGTCCATCCATCTATCCATGTACACCCCACCACACCCATCGTCTGTTCATCATCAGAGTAAACACTTACTTAGCACTTACTAGAACACTGTGTTTTATGCACACTGGTTCACTTAAGATTTTAGTAATCCTGTTGAGGTAATATTATTAGTACCTCTCTATTACAGATGAGGAAACAGGTAAAGAGGTAAAATGACTTGCCCAAGGTCACACAGCTGCCTTACCTGTCTTCTGGTAAGACATCAGGCCAGCCAACTGCCCAGGCCTGGCCAAAGGGGGCTTTCTGTAGAGCAAATATCACCCTATGTCCCTCCGGTTGATCCGCAGTAGGCTCTTCATTGCCTTGGGTTCCTGTGGACCGGCTTCAGATCTTTCCTACTTCATCTGGGGACATCTGTCTCCGTTTCACTCCTACCTGGGTGTACCAGAATTTGCTATTCTGCACTTGCCCTCACTCTGCCGAGATGGCCTGTCCCTCAGCCTAGCCCAGTGCCAGGACTGATCACCACAGGTCCAGATCTCAGTGCCTGCCCTGCAGGATGTGAGCCTCTTGGTGGAGATTCCTCCTGGACCCTCCTATGCTCAGTCCATGAGTGAGTGAGAGGGGTTCATCTTTAGTTTTCTTGCCCTGGCCTGCTGCGCATCACCAACATGTTGGCTGAGGTGTCGGATTCCCAGGGTTCTCACCCCTTGTGGCCCTGGGCACATGATTCAGTCTTTGAAACCTCAGGGTCCCGATCCATAACTTGAGGACTATCTAGTGCCTGCCTTCAAGGCTACTCTGAGGCTGACCCAGTGGGCTGTACTCACAGGCTGAGGACAGGCAACACCTCCTGATATTGTTGGTAGACACAGGTTCTGCATCTTGAATCTGGCTCACAGTAAATGTTTGAGAAATGCTTGCTACTATTTGTTGGGCAGAAGGGCCCACCCCACCTTGGCTGGTAACAGAACAGATTCCCCATTTCATCCCAGACAAGTGACTTGTCTTCACCCTAAGTTAGAATCTGGCATGCCAAATCTGCATCTTCTAGGAGCACAAGCTTTTCCCATGGAGCTCTCTTCTGCCTCACACGTGGGCTTATGGGTGCTCGGCAGGTGTTTATATGCTACACAGTAAATGCAGTGGGGAGGAAACCCAGAATGAACTCGGCACAAATTTCTGTGTCCAGTGGTGGGGGTGGAAGCAGACCTAAAAATGATGATGATGAATGATGATCTCAGCCTCCTTACTGGGATGCTTCTAGGTGCTCAGCCCTGTGCTGTAGGCTTTAAATGGCTCCAGCTCTGGCAGCCCCCCAACAGGGGCCAGCATTTCTCCTGAGATTAGGAAACTGACATGCCAAGAGGTTAAGGATCAGACAGTAACTGCTAATGCTAGAGTTCAAACCTCAGTCTTCCCATGAAAGCCCACCTTTGCTGTGCCCGGGGTACAAGAGCTGTCATGCAGGACAAGATGTAAACAGTGCAGTGTGGGAGGCCTGAGCTGACCACCTCGGTGGTTAAAGGAGGGGGCGGCTGGGAACAGGCCATCTACACTTTAGTAAGTTCATAAAAATGTGACCAAGCACAGAGTGAAGCCACGAATCAGTGTAGATTTCCAAGGCACTCTACCAGAGACCTGTGTGTGTCAACATGGAAGGGCCATTCATCCACTCTCCTGGGACTGGGTAACACTTGCAGCCTAACTGAACACACCTATATGGCACAGATGTCCATACCGTGTCCACAAGGACACTTGGGAGGTCTTGCCGGGTTCTAGCCAGGCAGCAGGACAGTGAGGGCCCTGAGCATTCCAGCCCCACTCTTGCACAGACCCTAATGCTTGCACATTGAGGCAGGCAGAATGGGTATCGTTTTAAGACTATGTTACCCATGAGATAATGGAGTTTCAGAGGGGCTCAGGGCCTGGCCTGGGGTCACACAGCCAATAGGGAGTAAAACTAAAACATGCATCAGGTGCTTAGTCTAAAATTCCATTTTAATTCTTCCTCCTTCCTTTTCACCCAACCTTACTGAAATTCAGCCACTAAGGTTACAACAGTGACCAGGCAGGGTCTCCCAGTCAGTCCATTTGGGTCTCTGGGATGGAGCATCTCAGGGCTTATCTTTTCACAGAGCACCTTCTCACCTGGGCACCAGCTCTCTTTGTGCCAGATGCATGGCTCAAGTGGCCACAGTCCTGCTGCCCCTTTGACTATAGTCACTGTATCACTCCTCCCTTCCTCCCATCTCTGGTTGCCACCAGGGAGCTCCCAGCAACATCTGCTTGTTCCACTGTTGTGATGTGGCCTTGCTCAGTCTTGGGTGGAAGCCCTGCACCAGCCACCTACCTCTTCTCGGCAGTTCTGTCTTCACGACTGGGGATCCTTCTTTGGGCCCTCTCAGTGTGGTGGGGCTTGGGCAGGTCTTGGCCCCAACCCGGTATACCTGTCAGAGTTTGGGTCCTTTCTCAGTCTGTTGGTGGAGCCCTCCTCTACCTTGTATCTGAACTAATACCTTTCCCCAAGTCTTCCCAAGAGCCCTCCCAACCCAGCACCAGGTTTGGGGTACAGAGCCTGGGTGTCCAGAGAGGAGCCCAGGCTGGGGGCCTTGCTCAGATTCTATGCCCTGGGCTCCGTGCCTCCTCTTTTGCTCTCCAACCCCAGCCTCCATGCCCTCCTTGACCCCGTCCTCCCAGTCTGGTTGGCGCTTCCCGCCAATTTCTAAGGGGTTGTCTTTGCAACCCTTGCGTCTGGGACCATGGCTGCTCTCTGCAGAGGGCGGGCGCTAGTGTCTGCAAGGGCCTGGTCTCACTGGATCCCCTCTATCCACAGGGGAGGATGAAAAGCTGGCGTCCCTGCTGGAGGGACGCTTCCCGAGGAGCACATCAATGCAAGATTCAGTGCGCGAGGGCCGTGGCATCCCGCCCCCGCCGCAGACCGCGCCGCCACCCCCCCCTGCTCCCTACTACTTCGACTCCGGGCCGCCCCCCGCCTTCTCGCCGCCGCCCCCTCCAGGCCGCGCCTACGACACGGTGCGCTCCAGCTTCAAACCCGGCCTGGAAGCGCGCCTGGGCGCTGGGGCCGCAGGCCTGTATGATTCCGGCTCGCCCCTGGGTCCGCTGCCCTACCCCGAGCGGCAGAAGCGTGCGCGTTCCATGATCATCCTGCAGGATTCCGCGCCAGAGGTGGGCGACGTCCCCCGGCCCCCTCCCGCAGCCACCCCACCAGAGCGTCCCAAGCGTCGGCCGCGGCCGCCGGGTCCCGACAGTCCCTACGCCAACCTGGGCGCCTTCAGCGCCAGCATCTTCGCGCCTTCCAAGCCTCAGCGCCGCAAGAGCCCGCTGGTGAAGCAGCTGCAGGTGGAAGATGCTCAGGAGCGCGCAGCCCTGGCTGTGGGCAGCCCTGGCCCAGTCGGCGGCAGCTTCGCCCGCGAGCCCTCCCCGACGCACCGTGGACCTCGGCCAAGCGGTCTCGACTACGGCCCTGCGGACAGCCCCGGCCTCACGTTTGGTGGCCCAGGTCCAGGCAAGGACCGGCGGCTGGAGGAGCGGCGCCGCTCCACCGTGTTCCTCTCGGTGGGAGCCATCGAGGGCAGCCCTCCCAGTGCGGAACTGCCCTCCCTGCAGCCCTCCCGCTCCATCGATGAGCGCCTTCTGGGGACCGGCCCCACCACTGGCCGTGACCTGCTCCTGCCCTCCCCCGTCTCTGCTCTGAAGCCATTGGTCAGCGGCCCAAGCCTTGGGCCTTCAGGCTCCACCTTCATCCACCCGCTCACCGGCAAACCCCTGGACCCCAGCTCCCCCCTGGCCCTCGCCCTGGCTGCCCGTGAACGGGCTCTGGCCTCCCAGGCGCCCTCCCGGTCCCCTACGCCCGTGCACAGCCCTGACGCTGACCGCCCTGGGCCTCTGTTTGTGGATGTACAGGCCCGCGACTCTGAGCGAGGGGCCCTGGCCTCCCCAGCCTTCTCCCCAAGGAGCCCGGCCTGGGTTCCTGTGCCTGCTCGCAGGGAGCCGGAGAAAGCACCCCGGGAGGAGCGTAAGTCGCCGGAGGACAAGAAGTCCATGATCCTCAGCGTCCTGGACACATCCCTGCAGCGGCCAGCTGGCCTCATCGTCGTGCACGCCACCAGCAATGGGCAGGAGCCCAGCGGTCTGGGGGCTGAAGAGGAGCGTCCGGGCACCCCAGAGCTGGCCCCGGCCCCCACACAGTCAGCAGTGGTGGCGGAGCCCCTGGCCAGTCCCCGGGCCCAGCCCCCTGGCAGCACCCCGCCAACAGACCCTGGGCCCGGCCAGGGCAGCTCGGAGGAGGAGCCAGAGCTGGTATTTGCTGTGAACTTGCCGCCTGCCCAGCTGTCCTCCAGTGATGAGGAGACCAGGGAGGAGCTGGCCCGCATTGGGCTGGTGCCACCTCCTGAAGAGTTTGCCAACGGGGTCCTGCTGGCCACCCCACTTCCTGGCCCAGGTCCCTCGCCCACCACGGTGCCAGGCCCGGCCTCAGGGAAGCCGAGCAGCGAGCCACCCCCTGCCCCTGAGTCTGCGGCTGACTCAGGGGTGGAGGAGGCTGACACACGCAGCTCTAGCGACCCCCACCTGGAGACCACGAGCACTATCTCCACGGTGTCCAGCATGTCCACCCTGAGCTCGGAGAGTGGGGAGCTCACCGACACTCACACCTCCTTCGCCGATGGACACACTTTTCTACTCGAGAAGCCACCAGTGCCTCCCAAGCCCAAGCTCAAGTCCCCGCTGGGGAAGGGGCCGGTGACCTTCAGGGACCCGCTGCTGAAGCAGTCCTCGGACAGTGAGCTCATGGCCCAGCAGCACCATGCCGCCTCTGCTGGGTTGGCCTCCGCTGCCGGACCTGCTCGCCCTCGCTACCTCTTCCAGAGAAGGTCCAAGCTGTGGGGGGACCCCGTGGAGAGCCGGGGGCTCCCTGGGCCCGAAGATGACAAACCAACTGTGATCAGTGAGCTCAGCTCCCGCCTGCAGCAGCTGAACAAAGACACACGCTCCTTGGGGGAAGAGCCGGTTGGTGGCCTGGGCGGTCTGCTGGACCCTGCCAAGAAGTCGCCCATCGCGGCAGCTCGGTGAGCAGGGCAGTGTGGGGAGGGTCCTGTCCCATGTCCATGGCCCCATGTGTTCTTCCTCTTGTGCATCCACAGTTTCCTCTGTTCTTCCTCCACAGTCCATTCTATCCCATTCCTTACCTGTCCATGGCATCCCTCCCTGTCCACTTCTGTCCTTTTTATTCACCCTTGCTGTCTGTCTGAGACAGAAGTCTCTCTCAGGGATCTGAAATATCAGGGCTGCTGTTCTCTCCATCCCTGTTGGTGCTGGGAATGGGAGCTGGGCACCCATGAGAGACCCAGGCAGGGCATGAGCACCTCCCAACCCTCCTGGAGACTCCCTGCCTCGGGTTCATGTGGGCTCTCACTCTTTTGCTCCTGACCAAAGCTGCTTCTACTATTAAGGGTTGTTCTGTGGTCCATTCTGGAGTTGCCACCCCCCCCCCCAACCCGCCTCGTGGCCATGTGGCTGGTGCCACCATTCCTGTAGCTGCCTCCTGCCTTGCTTCCTTTTGAGGCTTAGAGTACATGGACTCCTTTTCCTTTGGGGGCCCACCACCAACTTCCTGTTTTCTGTCTCTCAGCTCTGCCTCAGTATCCCTTAAACACAGATTCCAGTGTATGATTTTCAAAGTGCATTTAGAAGCCATTCTTTGGTGGAGGTCACACCACCTCTGCACCCTCCATCTGCCCTCTCGCTTTTTCCATACCTTCCCTGTCTGTCTGTCTTCTCTTCCCACCTCCTACCAGGGTGGGGGCTGAGCAAGGGGCTGGGGTGCTGTTCTGGTAGAGCTGCCAGAGCCCCTGGGCTGATCCCTTGGATATTTCCTCGAGGACCCCATTCCCAAGGCTCTGCTCCTGAAGGGGATCCCCCTCGGGCCTGTGGGCTCCATGGATACATGGGAGAACTGGTTCCTGCCCACGGTGCTGGTCTGAGGCAGAGCTGGTCATCCCCTGGCTGGCCCTTGTCTGCCCTCTTCAAGCTGCCTTTGCCTTCTTTGCCTCTTAGGCCCTCCTCACTCTTCTGGCTTTGTCGGGGAGTGTGTGGGGTGCCACCGCCTGGCTCCTCCTTCTTGCTCCCTGAAGACTAACCTAGTGGGCCCTTTCCTGTCGTCATTGGAAGGCACAGTTCACAAAGCAGTGAAGGGTTCAGGTCTGATAAAGGCTTGTCTGATTTACCTTCTTCCAGTTAAGGACTCAAAAGATAAGTTGGGGCTTGGGAAGCTCATGGTGCCTCTCCTAAGTAGTCCAGGAATGTTGTCCTTCAGCTTCTGTCATCTCAGGGGCTTGCTCTGGGGCCCTCTCCCCTTTTTGCCTCTTCCAACTCCCAGCTGAATGCGAAAGCCCGCTGTCCAGCAAGGCAATGCTGAAAGTGCCCTGAGAGTAGGCATGGGTATGTCCAGGGGTGTCTGTTTGGGATGAGCAGCCCGGATCCTAGGCCTCTGCAGGACCTGACCCCCTGAGGGTGGGGGTTCCCTGACCCACCCTCGACCAGCCCCCATCTTCATCTCTGCTTCTCCTCCCTTGCCCGGCCCTCCATTCCTCTGTGTCCCGATGAACATCAAAGCCATTTAAAGTGGGCAGCACAGGGCCTGGTACAGTGTAGGCCCGCAATAAACATTTGCTGAACAGATGAAAGAACTAAGCTAAATGCAAGCACTGTCTTTTGCGATTTGAAATCTAGGGAGGTGGCTTAAGACAAATACCACCGAAGGACAGACGCATGATTCAGATTTACTGGTTGCCGAACCCCATGTCAGGCTCAGGTGAGCCCGAGTCGTGTCATTTGCTCTGCTGGCTCCCACGGGCAGCTGGGCATCCTCAGCATTTCTCCTCTGTCAGGGAAAGGGTCTCTTGTTCCATGGCCCTGGGTTGCACCAGGACACTGTGTTTGTTTTCTTTTTTGGATGTGGGATGGGGAAGGGTGGGACCCGCAGTAGCAAACTTTACATCCCATCTATTCCACAGGTCCACTGGAAAATGAGCCTCTTTCACTCAGTAGTTCTTGCAAAACTCCAGCCTCTGACTGGCTTCATGTGGGTCCCCTGCTTTCCTCTGAGTGAATCACTGGGGTCAGGGAGATGTAAGGCTGCCATTGGCTAGGCCTGAGTCATCTCTCTCCTAGGAGCCAGGGCATGGGGTCACCCCACCTAGCAAACAGGTGCTGAGAGTGAGGGAGGGTGGTTCTTCAGAGGAGAATCAGGTACTGTTACCAGGGTTCCAGATGCCAGATGACCTAAAACACATGTCCCCTGTGACATGGCCCTTCCCAACTTCAGCAGCTTGCTTAATTCCCTGGCATCAGCTTGGAGTCAGAGGACCCTGGATTTCAACTCTCAGCTAGCTCCATCTGGGCTCTGTAGTCTTGGACCAGCCCCTTCTGTGAACGTCAGTCCTTCCCATGTGAGATGATGAGGGTGACACACAGCATCACCTTGAAGCACTGAGCTCAGGCCTGCAGCATGGTGGGTTCTCACTATGTGTGCACTCAGCCAGGCCCTTTGTGGGAAATAAGAGTGCCAGATACCAGGGGCGCCTGGGTGGCTCAGTTGTTTGGGCATCCAACTCTTGACTTCAGCTCAGGTCATGATCTCGGGGTTGTGGGATCGAGCCCTGTGTCGGATGCTGCGTTCAGTGGGGAGTCTGCTGGAGATTCTCCCTCTGCCCCTTCCCCGACTCTCTCTCTCTCTCAAATAAATAATTTTTTTTAAAAAAAGAATGCCAGATATTGCACTAGAAAACATCAGGTCATATTATTTCACCTCTACAGCCATTCTGTTAGATGGACAATAGTATAATCTCCATTTTCCAGCAATAAAACTAAGGTTCTGTTGCAGCCAGCAAGTGGTGGTTATCTGTCTGGCCCCAGCCCCAGTCTCTGTTCACTGTAATCTGGAGCCTCTATTGTTAAAGCCCTTCTGGTGACAGACACTGGGTTTCTGTGCAGTAATCCCCTCTCATAGAAATGCACACTTGTTCATCTGTTAGGCAACACCTGTATTTATCAGTCTTGTGTATCACAAATAGCACGTGTATTCTGAAGTCACCCATCCTTGAGTCCTCACAGTGCTACCTGATCAGTCCGGCCTCACTGAGCCATCCCTCTGCCCTGCCTTCGCATTTCCGCTTCCCTCTGCACTCCTTTCTGCTCCCATTCATACTTCCTTTCTCCCTCTGTGCTGCCCCTCCTGCCCTCAGACCTGAGTGGGCCCAGGCAGGGGGCTGGGCAGGGGATGCTGTGGCCACGTGCAGTTGGCCCTCCACGTGGCTGGCGGGGGCTGTGGTGCCTACCCAGGCTGCTGGGCAGCTCTTGTTCCGCAGCTCGCTGTGGCTAGAATCCAGCGCTCACCTCTCGTTTCGTGATGAACTGCTAGGGATACTGCCTCGTAGAGGAATGTTCCAAGGCCTGACACTGGGGTGGGGCTGCCTCCCCCCCAGGACCATTCCTGGCATAATATCCTTGGCCACCTGGGGGGCCACACCTCTGAGCCTTGCCCCTGGTCCCTGGGTTCCCTTGGTTTCACCTGCAGGCCTGTCCCTCTCTTCACCTGATGGACATCACAGGAGAGTAAACACCCCCTTCTGCTCACTTCCCCACTGACAGCCCTGATGCCCTGTAGCCCCAAGGCACTCTGCCGCCTAAGCTCTTCTCGGGCAACGGAAGCTGCCCTGTGTGCCACAGATTTGAAGCTCAGGAACTTGAAATGATTGGCTCTTCTGTACTGTGGCTTTTTCTGGGTGGAAGGTCCAGGACCTCTGGCTTTTTGGAACATCGATCCCAGACCATCCACCTGTTGTACGCTTCCAGTTTTGGGTCTAGCCCTGGTTATAGACAGAACATCGGTCTTCTCAGAGCCCCACCGTGGTCTTTGAGGCCCACATGTGCACCCAACTCCATTTGTCTTCCACGCTCCACAGGTGGATTGGAATCCTGCATGTGGTCTGAAGTCCATGGTGGCTCTGAGCACCACAGGGACACTGAGTTCCACTGTGGCTCCCAGTTTTACATCTGTCTGACCCGCACATCAGGTTTTACTGGAAAAGGTTCATGGAGACATAGCTTTGGAAATACAAAGTGAAGGGGTATCTGTCCTGCACACTTCTTACCCCTCTGATGTGCTTTGTGCCTTGGCCTCACACCTGTCAGGTCTCAGCTCCTTCGGTAGATCACTAATTAGTGTCTTGCAGAAGACACACTCTCCTACGATGGGGGTAGAAACCCTGCTCTGGTGACCTTTTGTGGGCCCTGTTCGGCTAACACGTTTGGCAGGGATCTGGATACAACCCTGTGTGACTGCAGGTGTTTCAAGGCCAGCTGGGCTTCTTCTGGGACTTGGGCTGACACTTGTTGTGTGATGGCCGGTGCAGGGGCACTGGGGCCAGGATATGCTTTGTCCTCGCAGGTCCCATGAAGCTCGGTCACATGCTTCAGGAGCCCTGAACTCTGCTGGGAGAGCAGGAGGGGCTCACAGATGAGGGGATGTAGGGACATCTGGAGTGTGTTGAGGTCAGAGCTGTGAGTGGATATGGGCAGTGAGAAGGCAAAAGGCTGGAGATGCCACGACCAGAGAGTGCGCTTCGAAGCTTACAAGTTGTATCTAGTTTTGTGCTGCTGTTGAGCATTCTCTCCCTGAATGGGGCTCCCAGACTGTAAACGCCCCCAGGCCCAGACCTGCCCTGCATGAGTGCAGTGGCAGGAGGCCCGAGACAGAGGCCAGGACCAGAGCTTGGGCTTCTTCTCGTCTCTTGGCACCAATGGGCCAACAAGCAGTCAGGCCTGGGAGAGACATGTCAAATTATTTTTGTTTGATGATATTTTTTTTTCAGTGTAAGCTGTATTCCTGGCTTTGTGCTAAGTACTAGGAGTCAAGGAGGGCAGTTAGGAAATGAGGTGAGAGGTCCTGAATGAGACCGTGAAATGACTGGACCCTGAGGTGGCTGGGGGGATGAGGATGAGGACCTTGGTTAATGCTAGGAGCCCTCCAGGTGAAAAGAAGGAGGAGCTGATGGTGGCTCCCAGGTCCCTGGTGTGGGGAGGACTGGGGGAAGGGAGAGCATGTTTGGCGGCCCTCGTAGAGGTCTGGAGCTCAGAGGAGATTAGCTGGGCCTCACATGCAGCATTTTTGCACCCATCAGCCATAGCCAAGGGTGGGAGTAGACCACACGGCCCAGGAGAAAGTGGGAACCAAAAGGAGAACCCACAAAACCCATCTGGGAAGGAAGGGGTGGAGGAAGGTCAGCAAGGGGTCCTGCTACTGCCTTGGTAACTGCAGGTGTGTGTGTGTGTGTATGGGGTGTGTGTGTGTGTATGGGGTGTGTGTGTGTGTGT